TGTAGAAGACAGGTTCTCCACATCCTGCTTGTTTTCCCAAGCAGTTTTCTCACCTCTTTTCAGTCTCTTGGAGGAGGGATTTTGCAGCTTCAGGGTCATTCTTCATAAAGGTTTGATACGGAGAGGCAGACTCCATGTAGCCAACCACACCCTCGACAGTCATGGGGATACCGTCATAGATATCAGTGATTCTACAAGAGAGATGGGGAAGGAAGGAGCATTGACAAGTTAAATCTTAAAGGCAGGGAAACACAGATAACAGATTAACGTGCTGGTGAATAAAGTATCTGACACCATCAAAGGTCCAGAAGATGGAAATAATATCCAACTGTGGCATGTGGTGGGTCAAGAGCTCTGATTGCTGTGCTACTGGAGAAGCAAAGATGGTTCCAGGTACCATCTCACATAGTCTGTGACTTGGACAGCCCTTTTGGTACAGGCCTAGTAAGTTGCAGACCCCCATCCCCTCCAGCATCCAGGACACCAACACCTTCACACCACCACTACCACCACATTTTTGCCTTGGTGGGGAGGCAGGCAGTGGCTCCCCAGAGGTCTGGGGCACATTTGCTGTCTCACTCTGTTTTTCCTTTCAACCATGAAGTGACCTGCTCAGAAACCTCAAACTGTGCTAGACCACCAACTGAAAATCTAACCCAAGGCTGCCTCGAGCAGGAGGGGTCCTCACAGCCCTCAGACCCCACTTGATGGCTCAGTGCAGAGCCACATAAAAGCCAGGAGCAGTTGGGACTGCAGCCACACAGCTCTGCCTCGATGCACAGGGGTTTGTTGATCCCCAGCAGCTGGGTTGAGATTCTGGCAAACCCTGCTCCTTTGTGTCCTCACTGAGCTGGAGGCAGAGCAGCCCCTGGAAGAGCAGAGACACCCCCTTTATCCACTCCTGGCACTGCACCGAGAGGGTTCTGCTCACCTCTTCTTGTCTGGGAATGGCAAGGCCTCGAAAATCTCTTTGTAGTTTTCCAAGACGAATTTTAGTCTATTATGTGAGTATTTTAAAATCTGGTCCCAGCACTGTAAAGACAGTGTATTAAAAAAAGCACAAAACCATTTGAAATTCTCAATTTCCACGTAACTCAGGTTTGAGCCTAAACCTGATATGCATTCACACATGGCCCTTTTTATTTTTTAAATACTTATGGCATTAAAATACACCAAAAATCTTGCTTACTGCCCAGAATTTAAGGATGCCATTTTATTATAGAGATAAGGGTTCTGTTTTTCTCCCTACGCTGCTGTTACTGATTGTGCAAAGGCTCCTTTTATCCAGTTGTTAAAACACCCTTTGCCAAGAAAGATTACTAAAAAAGGACTTTTCCCAAACAGTTTATACTTCCCATTCTTTTCACTGTGATCAACAGCAGGAAAAGTATCTTTGACAATACCAGCCCCCAGATATGCTCTGGCACCCTTCTCACCCTACCAGAGCCTGCCCTATCAATCCTAGTGTCTCTTTTCTCCTCATCCAGCCAGATTTAGCACTGCTTTGGAGCCTCTAAATCCCACCTCAGCCTTACCCCTGCGTTTAAACCATGCCTCTTCTGCCCATCCTGCATTAGGATTCCTCTCTGCACCCAAGCAATATGCATTTCCCTGTGCCCAGACCAGGAGGGGAAGCCCTGAGGTTTGGGTTCCGTCCCCTCACCTCCCTGAAGATTTTGGTAAGCTTCTCAGAGCAATCTCCATAGCGCACGCTCATGTCCACGGTGTAGGTGCTGATGGCCACACAGCCACCCGGCCTCACCACCCGTTGTGCTTCCTTCATGAACTTCTCGATGTCAAACCAGTGCGCGGCCGTGAACGAGGCCAGGACGTCCACAGAGGCGTCCGGGAACGGCAGCTCCTCTGCAGGGCACACGCTGGGAGCGGGGAGGAGAGAAAGACATCTGTGATATGGGAATCAGAGGGTAGGACATGGAGCCAGTGGGTATTTTTTGGAGTCCATGAGGACTGTGTGGGATGCAAAACCATGGCTACAGGAAGTCTAGGATAATGCCTGTTCACCTCGGGAATTCCATCAGGTAAGGCTTTCTTTGGTGCCAGCTGGGTCTTACAACAACTGTACTCGCAAAACACCATTCCCATGTGAGGACCCGAATTTTGCCTTGGGCTGAGCTCACTCCCCCGACACTCACAGGTAGGAGACATTGGGCATGGAGAGGGTGTCCTTGGCCTCCTGGATCTGTGCTTCGCTGATGTCCGTCCCCACCACCTTCTTGAAGTGCTCTGCAAGGAAGCGGGTGCCTTGTCCGGTCCCACAGCCAACATCCACCACCAGCTCAGCAGGGATTGCCCTCTGTGGGGAGGAGCAGATGCATCTCAGTGGGCAGCCACCCAGTTTCTGTGCTTTTACCCTATTGCTTCCCACAGCATCCACTCAGGAACAGCCTTGGCATGGCAGAACCTGTGGAAGGCCTCTGCTGTGCCCCCGCCTTGCCTTGAGCCCTGGTAATTTATCATACCCTGTGGCACCAATCAAGATAACAGTCCCAGCAAGGTAAATACTACCACCCACAAATAAAGATACCCTGGATTTTTCCTCCAAACTGGCCATACCCTACTCACCTTTTCCTGCAGGTAGGCAAGGATGGTTTGCTGCAGCTCTTTGCCCGGTGCAAACCTGTATTTCTGGTAGACGGCTGCATGGCCTTTGCCCTCGAACATCTGGGTGCTCATGCTTGGATAACCCGGCACCTGGGAAGCAGCAGGAAGCCGGGATTGTCACCACGGGGTCAAATTCCTGCGCCTCTTTAGCCTATGACCGCAGGCACTAAAGCCTCCAGTTCCCAGCGGGGCCCCCGTGAGGACTTTGCCCGTGAGGCTCCGGGCAAAGGAATGTGAACCTGAGAATCCCTCCCACGGCTGTAAACTAATCCCAAGAGGAAACCAGCAGCATCCGATGCGGAAAAATTTTCCAGGTTTTTAAGCAATCCTTACTCCTTTGCTTCCCCAGCGCCCCCCCCGCCGTTTTCTGAAATAAGTTACCATTACAGTAGAACAGTTTGGGTTTGTTTTTTGAGGGGGGTTTCTTTGGAGGTTTTTTTGGGGTTTGTTTGGTTTTGGTTTTGGGTTTTTTTAAGGAAATCCATGTTTTATAATTAACACAAACACAGCAAGTCGGCCCTGCGCTTTCTCAACCCCCTGGTATTGTTTGGCCTCTCACGGACACCGCACAGGGCGTTCCCTGTCTCGCCCATCAATGTGCCTCCCCCGTGACGCTCCGGGACCCCCAGTCCCCGCATCCCCCTGGTCCCGGCCCACCCCGCCGCACCGGAAGGCTCTCGGCCGCATCCTGTTTGTCTCGGTGCCCGAGCAGGTGCCGTGCGGGACAGCGACGGCTCCCATGGCTGGTGACAGACCCCAGGAACCCTGCCCCGTCTGACGGGACCCAGCACCCTCTCTGTGCCCACAGCGAGCGAGGCGGGCAGAGGGACGCGAGAGCTGCGACATCGGACAGTCAAGGGTTATTCTGCCTTGGGGCGCAGGAAGAGATGCTCCAATAGCGCAGGGCTGGAGCTCCCAGCAGGCAGCAGCAGCGCTGCCGAAGCCCTTTCTGGATGGATCCTCCAGCTGCTTTCCGAGCGCTCAGAGGAGCCTCCTTCCCCCAGCGCCCCCGCGCCACGCCCCGCCCTTACCGCCGACAGACCCCGCAGCTCCCGAGGCCTTCCCGAGCGGAGCTCCAGACCACGAAAAAGAGGAAGAAAGGCGGACGATGGCCGGCGCCGCCCCGGTGCCTACCGCCCACCCCGCAGCTCCTCCCTGCCGGGCCAGAGCGCAGTCGGAAGGGCTAAAATCCAGAGCGCAGCTTCCAGAGGCTCATCCCACCGAGATGCCGTAGCCCCAGAGCCTTAGTCTTTACACAGCTCTGTAGTTACTAATTACAGAGAGCTTTCAAAATGCCCACGGATCCCGAGGGTCGCTCAGCACCCCCCACGTCTCGGGAAGCAGATACAGAGCCCAGAAGATCTTTACAAGGTAGCAGGAGAACAGGATGCAAAGCTACGGGCAGCCAAAGCCGTACCTACAGCGCTCTGTCTGCACTGAAGGCCCCTCCTATCGTTCAGCGGAAAGAGAACATGCAGAAATAGAGTCCCCTGCACCAACTTGAAGAGCACAGAGCACAGTATTTCAGGACTAGGCAACCTGCCCTGATTTGGATTTACTCCTTTGCTAAGAGTAATGCTAATTCCATGCAGCTGAAGGCAGCGAGTCATGGTTCACTGGAAGCACTCAGTTTGTACTCTGCACAGCCCGAAAGCCACTCCTAACTTTAAGAGAATACAGGTGGTATTCAACTGATTATCCTCTGGCTACTGAGACCAAACACCTGCAGTGCAGAGGCTGCAAATGGCACCAGTCCTTTGCTAGCTCTCCCAACCTTTGCCACACTGGATTCAGCTGCCTTTGACTCCCTATTCCAGCTCTCTTGTATTCCCCAAGTGACAGTGAATCTCTGATGACCCTGCAGCATGCAGCAATAAATTGTCTTCTTAAACCTTGGGTTGCTGAGCCTTAGTCCAAACATGAGTTTAAACACCAGGCACAGAGAATCAGACGCTGTCCATCATCCCTACCAGGCCACTTACTAAATCCACAGACTTCAAGGAATGTAAAAGTGCCCTGGTGTCTTCCCAACTTCTTCCCCAAACCTACAGGCCAGGTGGATTTGAATTATATAGCAGGGTCCTGGATTAATAGACCTCCAAACTCTGACCTTAATGCGGAAAAGGACAATTTAAGATCCTTCATCCCTCCACACCTGCTCTCCTGAAGTTCTGTGCCCGTTGGCTCTGCTCCCTCCCCACCTTTGTTTCTCTGCAGAATGCAGTGGCAAAACAGCTCCCAGAGTTTTGCTTTTCCAAACAGGATCACCAAGCCAAGCCCTAATCTCATCAGTGGCCAGGAGACAATTCCTGTCCTTGGGATACAGCACTTGAGTGCTTTTGATGCCTCTCTGTGCTCCTGCACTGCTGGCATTCCCTGCCCATGCCATGTCCTCACCTTGCTGCACCAATCCAGGTGTGTGGCCGTCCTCCTCACTCAGCCACTGGGGTTTCACTGCAGCCTCTGGGACTATTTCCAGGGAGATGTTCGGGTTTCTTTCACTGCCAATGCATCTCACTCTGAAATTTATAAAAAACCCCAAAACAATCTATTTTAGGGAAAAAAGCTCAAAGGAGACTCCTGTCAGTTTGCCTGTGTCACTTGTTGATATTTTTCACCAACAGCACCATGGTTTCCAGAGCACTGGAATGTCTTATCTTGATATGGAAAAAGCCACTTTGTTTCTATTCTTGTGGTTCGTTTCACTGCACATCAGTAAATATTATACTAAATTCTTTTCATCCCAGGGAAAGAGTGCTGCCTCCTGAAAACAAAACAGCTGACATCCCCTCAGCCAGCTGCTTTGATATTGCTGAAAATTGCCTTTCCCCTCCTACCTTCTGAGGAAGAGCTGTTCTGTTTAATCCAGAGTACAGATGCCCCTCTCAGCCCAAGCCTGGCTCTGTAACTGTGTTCATGCTGTCCCCAGCAAAAACTTTCTGGCAGAAAAATCTTCCCTAATTTCACCTGGAGAACACTTAGCTGGCTTCTTTTCTGCAGCTGCAAAACAAGTTACAAGCCTCATAAACATGTTCTAATTAATTATGTCTATTGCTCAAGTGGAAAACTAATTCTCATTTATTTTCTAGCTCAAGCACTGCCAGACACACCATGCTGCATTTTTCAGAGGGTCTCCCAATTTTAGAGGATCTGAGAACTAAAACAATTACACAAAGTCTTGCTCAGTGGGTTCAATTCTTCCCCTTCTCTGTGGATAATCTTCTACCTGGAAAACACTCCAGGTCTCACCTATCTGCAGGAATTTAAGAAAAACCCTCAGCTCTGACCATATGCATCAGAGGTGCCCCTTTGGCCAGGTCTTTAACACAAGACCTTAAAGTGGCAGCAATTCCGTAGCCCACAGCCAAGGATGTGTCACTCGGCCCCTTCCCTGCATCCTGCTCCTACCCGTGGGAGGAGGGTGAAGGAGGGGAACACAATGACCTTCATGTCTGGGCAGAGCAGTGCTGTGCCAGGAAACGTGCATCCCTGTGTTTAGACAATCATCTGAACACCAGGCAAGCCCCCCAAAACATCTGGGATAAGCAGGGTTCCAGCACACACACTGGAACCGTCACTGCTTGTGGTGAGCTACAGGACATTGTCCTGGGGAAAGAAACCCAGACCCACTGTGTGCATGAAGGAATGTGCTGTGCCTACCCCGATGGGAGCCCTGGTGATGTCTGGGGCCTGATTTCACCCGACGCTGCTCTGACTCCTCAGCAGGACCTGTGGGAGGTGCTGAGCCCCCTCCTGCGCCGCACTGGCCTCGTGGCACCAAACCCTGCGGATGGACTGTGTGCAGTGTGGAGCTAAAGGAAGAGCAGGCAAATCACTCCGTTACCCTCCTGCATCAAATTCACAAATTTAATTGTTTTAAATTTCATTTCAGCTTTGATTCACTTGGCAGCTCCTTGCCAGGCCACATTGGAGGGAGGATGCCCAAAGGGCTGAACAACCTCCCCATCCTCAGGATCCCATGAAAAAGCTGGTGATATTTCTCTTACCTTGTGAAAAACTTGATTTGCTTTTAAGATCCTAAGAAAGCTTGGGAGATTTCCCCCTGTTTATTTGTTCTTTTATGGAAAAGGTACAAGATTTATTGTCACTATGGGGAATAAAGGGATAGGAAAATATTTGGTATTTCTATGAGGATCTTTTTTAAACCTAGAGAGCTCAGACTTTAAATTAATGAAGAACATAATTCTCTTGGCTTACAAGCAGCAAGGCATGGATGAAATCTCCTTGCAGGGAAGGGGGTTAGCCACAAATTAAGGATGTCTCAGCTGATTGCACAGCTGTGTGTTACAGCTGTGCCTCAAGGTCTTGTCTGGGGCTATCCCTACCCGCTCCCTGGCAGCTCTGCAACCCAGGAAAAATCAGTGCCTATGTGAAAAAAGAGCCCACATGAACGAGACCCCCCGAGGATCAACCAGAGAGGGAGATGGAGATCTCTGCAGCTGTGACTATTTTTGGGGAACTGCATCCACACCCGTGCAATTGCCGGATCCCTGCAATTGTAGCCGGCATGTCGGCTGGTTATTGTTGTGCTCAAGCACGCAAAGGCTGGGGGAGAAATAAAGGCAGGCAGGGACATGTTCAAGGGCAGGGGAGGAAGCCTGCAGAGGAGAGCGCCCTTGACTGTGAAATCCTGCCTCGCCCCTTAGCTCGTCCAGCCATTAATGCTTCCTGATGGAATGGTTGATGTGCAGTGCCTGTGGGAGCTGTGAGCCCAGGCTGAGTAAAGCCCCAGCACTGGGATCTTCCACAAACAATAAAAACAAGTCCTTCTCTCATAATATCACCTTTTAACTAAGGAAGATGGATCTTGGGGACGATGAATGAAATGAAATTTAGAAGTCACCTGAGAATCCATGGCAGAGGACACCGAGATCTCCCATTCCCCATGCAGGGTCCAGAGGCTCCTCCATTGCTTCCTGGCTCATCTTTCCTCTTTACTTGCTGACAAAGCATCACCATCAGCATATCACTGTCTCTTGTCCATCTGTAACTGCACCGCCATCGATCTCTCGTTGCCTGATGGCTTTAAACAGCCTGAACACCTCAACTCACCCTGCTGACACCACAGCCCAGTGCTGCCGCCTCTCGGCCCAGGGGGTTCCCCAGCTGCCTGCACAAAAGCATGAGGTGATGATCTCGGCGTTTTGGGGCACAGCTGCTTCTCGATGGGATGCTGCCAGTCCTGTCAGATTCGCTGCACTCTTGGCTTTTGCTGTTGGAATTTGGCACCATCCCAGTGAAGCAACTTGGAGAGAGGGCCAGGTGGGAGAAGGAGCACACCAATATTTTGGCAGTGGGGTTTCTCTTCTCTTTACCAGAAATGCATATTTTTGGGCACTTCAGAGCAAAGAAGGTCTCAGAGAGGGACAGAGGGCTCAGTCTTCAGCACTTTTTGGAGAGCATCAGATGTGCAGACTGAGGTTAAACACCTCAGACTGTCCTGCAATAGCTGAGCAGCTCCATACACCTCAACCTTCAGCTTCAGCCCCTGCCTTTCGGGTTCCCAGGGGGGTCCAGCACTTCATTATCCAGCACTCCTGGGTGTCCAAGAGGACATGTTCCCCTGCTGATGGATTAACATTTCTGGAATTAAAAAGAGGGAGAGAAACATGAGCACAGATTGATCTTATTTCACCTTTTCTTTCATGCACAGGCTGGAGGATATATGAGGACATAGTAGATGATATTATTATATCTGCTGACATAAGGAAAAAAAATCCAGTGGTGTCGGGAAGCTGCTGTAGGAAAATTAAATAACTCTTGGGGATGTACATGGCCAAACCAGACTTGGGCCTGGCTGATGCCTGATGGGCTGTTCTGAAATGCAGACAAATCTGTGGTGATTAAATGAGATCCAGGACCATCTTAATTCCGAGTTTAAGCTTTTTCTTCTTGGGATCCCAGCTAGGCATGTGATAGGAACATTCATTGTAAGATGGGGAGAAATAAAGGTGAAGGGAGCAATATTTTCAGCTCTTCTCTCCTTCCTCCAAAAGCCCCTGCACCATGAGACAGCCAGGTCCATCATCCCCTGCCCATTTCTCGTTGCAGTTCTCAGGATCACAATGTCCCAAAAGCCAAGTGGGAACAAACCTGGAAGCGTAGTGGTTCAGGGGGCTGGAAAGGGGGAATTTTTTGCTCTGGCCATGCTGTGCTGGCCGGTGATGGCCTAGTTCAGTGGTGGCACAAGGGCTGGAGGCTGCAAATGCTGTGCAACGTGGCATCGAGGAGGGTACAGGAGGGCACAGAAGGGTGCAAGAGGGTGCAGCAGGGTGTGGCAGGCTGTGTGAGGATGCAGGAAGGTGAGGGAGCATGGAGAAGGGTGTGGGAGGATAAAAGAGGGTGCATGAGGATGCTCTTGGAGGGTGTGGGAGGATGTTGGAAGGTGCAGGGTCTGCATGAGGATGCAGTGAGATGGAGGAGGGCACGTAGGGATGTAAGAGGGTACGGGAAGATGCAGCAGAGATCAGAGAGGTATAGGAAGGTGCTTCAGGATGCAGAAGGGTGCTGCAGGGGAGAATGCAGGAGGAATGTGCAGGAACACACAGGAGGAAGATGCAGGAGGAAGATGCAGGAGGAAGCTGAAGGTGGATGGTTAGAGTTAAAGCAGATGCAGGAGGGTGCAGGAAAATGCAGGAGGGTGCAGGGGTTTGCAAAAGGGAACGGTAAGATGCAGGAGGAAGGTGCAGGAGGGTGCAGCAGGATGCAGGACCAAGATGCAGGAGGGCGGCTCCAGAAGGATGCAGGAGGGCGCAGCAGCCGTTCCCTGAGCCGCCGGCGGGGCCGGGCCGTGCCGGGCAGGGCGGTGGGGGCGGTGCGGAGCCCGGCCCGGCCCCGCTGCGTGGGAGGGCCCGCCCGGGCCGGCCCGCCCTGCCCGGCTCTCCGGCGGCGCCGATGGGGCTACGGGCCTGGCTGCGATCGCTCGGCGGCTGCTGTGGCTGCTGCGGCGGGGAGGCGGCACCGCCCGAGAAGGAGCCCCTGCTCAGGTGAGACCTCGGCTCGGCCCCGCAGGGTGGGGCGATGCGCCCACCCCGAGATGCGCCCACCCCGGTCCCCTCGTCCCCAGCCTGGCGTGAGCCCCGCTGTGCCCAGACTCGCTCCCAGCGCTGTCACTGGGGCTGGACATCCCCTGCCGGAACGCTCAGGGCTCCAGAGGGATCTTCCCCTGGCGGGAACGAGCAGCTTCCCGTGCCCTTTCCGCCTGGGTTGGCTGTCACAGGGGCTAGATTGCTCCTGCCAGCCCACGGCGCGATGCCCCCCGGGATGCTGAGGCACCCGGCGAGGGAGGTTCTACGGGGAAGGTTTAGGGAGTGAATCGAGAGCGGTATCTCTTCAGTGTTCCCCGTGATGCTCGTCCACAGGGACGGTCCAGCGCTTGTGTTTCCATGGTGGGATTTCAACAGAGAAGGATGAGACACTGAACAAAAAGGGATCGGGTCCCACCGTTAGGCAGTTCTATGCTTTGCAGAGCTCAGCTCCCGTGTCAGGATTGTAGAATCACAGAATGGTTTGGGTTGGAAGGGACCTTGAAAATCATCTTGTTCCATCCCTGTGCCACCTCCCACTAGACCAGGTCACTCCAAGCCCTGTCCAACCTGGCCTTGGACACTCCCAGGGATGGGGCAGCCACAGCTTCTCTGAGCAATCTGTGTCAGGGCCTCACCACCCTCACAGGGAGGAGTTTCTTCTAAGCATCTGATCTAAATCTCTCTTCTTTTAGTTTAAAACCGTTCCCCCTTGTCCTATCACTATCTGCCCCTGTGAACCGTCGCTTTGCCTCATTTTTACAAGCCCCCTTTAAGAAGTGGAAAGGGTTCCAAAGTCTCCCTGGGGCTTTCTCTTCTCCAAGCTGAACAACCCCAGCTCTCCGCCTGTCTCCATCCAGGGATGCTCGAGACGAGATGAGGGTGCAGAGCTGGGGCCGGCTGTATGTGCGAGCTGATCTCCAGGGATCAGATCTTTCTCTCCCGCTGTCGGTCGCATCTGCTTTGTGCACAGAGCCGCGAGGCTGGGGGGTTGTATGGAAAGATAAAGCCCTGAGTCGCGGAGAAGAGCCGTGAGCTGTGGAAGAGCGTGAGGAGAGTTTCCATGTTGCAAAACACCCATGCAGTAGGTTTGTGGCACCTCTCCCTCCTTCCCCAGCTCCCAGCCATGGTCTCAGCACCACCAGTGCGTATCCTAGCCCTGGGAGGGGGCAGGGATCGTGCCCTCCTTGCGTCATCGGCACGACAGAGGCATTTCAAGGGGAGTGTGGGATGCTCCCGGTGTGCCCTACATAGGTGTCAGGTAACAGCAGAGCTGCTGACAGGGCTTGAAACGTCCTGATTTCGCGCTGTTAAAGCATAATAACCAGATAATCCTGACCCTGAGGTCTCCAGCCCAGGAAATCGGCATTAACCTACCGGGAGCTGAGCACACGTGTGAAGAAGCTCCTTCCTGTGGCCACAGTGCCTGTCCCTCACCTGGCTCCTTTCTTTAGTAACACGCCTTCCACTGGCGATCCAATTAATGCTGGCTATAAGTAGGAAAGCCTCTATAAATTCTGGGAATTCTAAAGGCATCTGCTCCTGTACAAGTGTGCCAGCATAATTAATCTAACAGCCTAATTACTGGCTTGTCCTTCCTCGAGAGGCTTTTGGGTTTTATTTCATAGAAGGGATCTCGCTTCCTGGTCTATTTTTATTTTTACTGCAACTTTGTTTAAAATGAATGACTTACTTGAGATTTCCAATCCTTTAGCTGAGTTTTAGGTTTTGGGACCTGGTGTTGCTGGTGCTGCAAAGCATCCAGGCTGCCTGGCTGTCTCTCAATGTGCAACGGTGGGGTCTGGCTTGGATGGTGTACTCAGGATGAAAATAAACTAAATATTTGGGCTCTGAATTCCAAAACAAATTGAATGTGGACTGAAAGTCCCCTGGAGAAGAAATCAGAGAAGAAATCAGAAGAGTCTGATGAAGCATTAGTGCTCACCATTTTCTGGATAAAATCCAGAGTGTGAAATGGTCTCAATCCCTTGTGGTCCCCCAGAGATTCCTGTAACCTCCAAAGCAGCTGCCGTTCATGTGGTCCTTTTTTCTCCTCTCATTTCTTCCTTTTCAATGTTGTTTGGAAGAGCTGTTGGCAGAGCTCTCCATGCCTGTATGGATTTGCTGACTCCTGGGCACTGCCTGCATTCCTTACAGGCTGCTGGATGCTCCATGCTGTGATTTGGAAATCGAGATGCACTGGGAAGCTGTGAGGGAGGGAGTAGCTTGGAAAAGCTCAGGTGTGGGAGTGCTATTGTCAAACACTTGTGCTTTAAGTAATTCATATGTTAAGAGTACTGGTAAATCCCTGAGTGGGAAGAAGCCTGTTGAAGGCAGGATGGGGCTGAACTCATGCTGAAGGCTCCTGAGTGATCCCTTCCAGGCTGGGATCCTGTCTGCTCCACAATTGAGAAGCGGTTTGAGTGAAGCCATGCTGGCTCCGGTGTAGGAACGGCTGAGTTGTGCCATCCACACCCTCCAAGTTACCTTTGTTTGCCTGTCTTTAATGAGAGATTATAAGAGATTATCTTTTCCCTATTACCTGTTGCTCAGGTTTTTGGTCTGTTGAAAGTCTAATTAACCTTCCTGCTTCAGGAATGCTGGTGGGAATTATTTTTTTCTATTTCACCTGTGTGCTGGAACTCCTCTTAGCATCTTTTTATGGCTTGGTGCCACAGTGCTCACAGAGTTATCTGAGGTTTCACTGGACAGATTCCTTGCAAAAGCAATGGGATTTGGGTAGCAAACAAAATAAACAGTGGGTTGTTCTGACAAGAAGTGAGCCGAGATTGCCACAGGGTGGTTGAGGAGACTGTTGGGTAAGGCCAAAAATAGTTCTCCACTTGTATTGTCCTGCTCAAGTACCTGGACATCCTGTTTAGACACTTCATGGAAATCCCCTGCTCTAAGTTCTCCTGGCAGAAGTTAGTGCCCGTATTAAAAAAATGCACATCGCAATAGCAATATAAACCCATAACACACAGAACTGCTCCCCGTGCAGAGAAAAGCTCCCTGTCTTCCCAAGGAACAGCCTTCCCATGTGGGACCCCTGGAGAGAATCCAGTTCCACCTATGCTCAAGTAGGGTCAGCTGGAGCAGGTTCATCATCACAGTGTAATTTGGGTTGGGAGGGACCTTAAAGAGCATCCAGTTCGAACCCCCTGCCATGGGCACGGATGCCACCCACAGGGTGGGAAGGCAGGAGGCTGTGGGAGCAATGGGAAGATGCCACCTTTCATCCTAGCAGATGGATGCTCCCAGTTCTTCCAGCCTAGCTGCTCAAATAATATCCAGTGTCTTTAGCAAATCCATGTGCCTCACATCTCTCACAGCAGCACTGCCTGGTATGAACTGTGGCTTGTGTGGTCAGGATGTTTGCTAAGGGAAAAAACTCACCTGCCTTCCCATTCTGCACTGCTCTTCCTCCTCCCCTCTCCCAGGCAGGACTCTGCGCTGTGGGAAGGGGCTGCCACAGCAGTGGGCACTTTTCCCTGGAGGGTACAAGGAGGCAGTGTGGTGCTAATGCTGCCTGGCCTCTGCCCCTCTCTGCAGCAACAACAACCCCTACGCGTCCTTCGGAGCCACGCTGGCACGGGATGAGGAGCAGAACCTGTGGAGCACCCCCCACGACATGACCCACACGGAGGCGGACGATGACCGGGTGCTGTACAACATGATCGTGGTCAGGAACCAGCTGGACAAGGACTCAGAGGTGAGGCAGCGCCGTCCGGGCGCTCGGTCTCACTGTGGACCAGCCTTGAATCTTCCATCTCCCTTTGGGCTCGGAGCTTCCATCACACCCTTTTGAGCTTGGAACCTCCACCACACCTTTTGGCAGTGCCTCTGTTTAAGCACTCATTAATCACAGAATCACAGAATGGTTTGGGCTGGAAGGGACTTTAAAGCCCATCTTGTTCCACCCCCTGCCGTGGGCAGTGACACCTTCCACTAGACCAGGTCACTCCAAGCCCTGTCCAACCTGGCCTTGAACACTTCCAGGGATGGGGCAGCCATAGCTTCTCTGAGCAACCTGTGCCAGGGCCTCACCATCCTCACAGGGATGACCACAATTAGGTCACCCCAGAGCCTTCTCTCCTCCAGACTGAACAATCCCAATTCTCTTAGCCTTTCCTCATAGCAGAGCTGCTCCATCCCTCTGATCAACTTGGTGGCCTCCTCTGGACTCATTCCAACAGGTCAATGTCCCTCATTCAATTAAGCTGCTGTAAAGACCCTGAAGTCCCCCAGCATGGGTCATGTAGGTATCAGGTCCTCCCATCTGTTCCATTGCCCTCCAGATTTTATCCTGGTGTGGATGGATCTGTGGCCATCTCACCCCTGGGAAGCTCGGGGGTGTCTCTGGCAGCTGAGACAGGAAGAGCCACCCAGGAAGAGCTGTGATGCTTTTCTCACCTCCATAGTACCCTTAGGTTCATCTCCCTCTGTTCTGAGAATCTCTGTGTTCTCCTTGTCTTGGATACTTTCAGTGCCCTCCCAGGGCATTATCCCATTGAGCATATATTGCCTCCGGAATCTTTTGTCCCCCCGCTCCAGATCCCCTTCACTGGATATCTATTTCTGTACATCTTTGACCAGCCAAAGCCAAGGATTATATGCCTTCCATGGAAGAGTAAGGAAACACAGCAGCTGACACTTGAAAACCAAGGAAGTCTGAAGGCCAGT